CAATCAGTCTTAGGAGTCGCGTCTTACCTCAGTGCATCGGTAAATAATTTTTCTGTCAGATATCCTCGACAATTGGAGTTTTCAAATGCCAAGTAGAATTTGTAAATTTGACCTAACTTTTCATGGCAATTTCCGCCGGGGCAGGGAAGCCTATGCAGTCCATAAATATCGACCTTAAATTGACAAAAAAACATCTTCAGCCTAGCATGTATCCGCAACAATTAAAAAGATTATATGCCATACATTACAAGGGGAACTCGCATAGCAATATAATATCAGTAGTCAGATTTCACATCGCAGGGAACATTGCGCAGCATGACAGGTTATCGTGTTCATATAAGTGTAAAAAATACGTTTTCTGCTTAAAAACCAGAAACCAGTCACGTCTGTTTTTTGTGTTGCACCCTCTCGCATTCTTCAATCCTGTAATAATCTCCCAAATGAGGTATCATCCTTCCCGTTCCCTAGTCTGGATCAGTTTCACATTCTCTCATTTTCATTTTTGATAATGAAATTCATTTTTATACTAGAATTCCTGAGCATGTTTAGTATGTGCATCTTGAGAATTCGTACAGTATTCACCATTCCCGAATTGTAATGATTTACTGATGCCTGCATTAAAAACCAATATCATTCCCTTCCTGCAATTGACCTTGATTTGCTTTAAAAGACCCTTCTTGAATGTTCCCTTATGTTGCTAGTTCTTCTCAACCTCTTTTTCGTTGAGAAAATATTACAACTGTCTTTCACAACAGTCAATCAACTCGCTAATCAATTGCTGGATGTTGTTTTTCGTCCCATTTATTCTGAGTTAATTGGCAAAAATGCGCCTTAACATACTATCATGAAATATTACCATTTCTGATACGATACCCTACAGTAGACATGCTATCGCGCGATAAGTTTACCGATATTTGCAAATAATTTTTCTATTCGATGCCTTCTTTATTTTAAAAATGAAGGAATAATAAGTGTGTAGCCTCATGCCAGTATATTTTATCAACTGAAAGATGCCAGCTTTAATACGGCCTGCTGACAGGTTGCTTAATTAGTATATTTTTTTTCAAATTGATTTTAGATGCTCTGGTAAGATAAAATATACTTTATGGAAAACATTTGCAAAACTATTCCTGTTTTCACACATTAATTAGCTAATTATTTCTTCATCAAACATCGGGGTGAAATAGTGTCATCATATTGTAAAGTAACCCTTTAGTAAGATCATGAAATAAGCATTCCCAAAGGATTCTATCTGAGGATATAATAATGCTGCTTTTATCGATTTCGAAATCCACGTTCATAACAAAAGATAGGAAGGCTACAGGTACTTCCTTAACTCATTAAATGTCAACCGTAATTTGCAATATATAGTCGATTCGCAGGCGTTACTCAAGTAGGATTGTAACACGGATGGTCGTACAGTAAACTTCCGATAGATTTCAGTCAGAAGTGGATGCCAGCTTTTCAATGACTTTGCTTCTGAATCATTTCTACAATATATATTCGAATTTAAAAGGGGTCTTGAAAATTGGTGGAGTAAATGTTTACTTCTTAAGAAGCCATTTGTTATACAACATGCTTTAAACAGACATAAACTCTTTGAAAATCCAGCATCCTGAAGATGATGAGATGGCTTTGGAATACATTGACGTTTAGAATGTTTCACCAGTTTTCAGCGGTACAACAATAGCTAGAAACGGGAATTTATTGGTAATGTCCTTCTCAAGCGCTAGTTAAATTCATGGATTGATTAAGCTTGTGGTGTTGTGGACCGTCTCCAGTTGGTCTATTTTGACGACGAAAAGCTTGTCATCGACACACCGTACCAACAATGTAGAGCTAACTAATGCAAGAGCCGTCGATTTCAGCTTCTGTTCTGTTACTCCGGCAAGTAATACAGACATGGTTTACTCTATTGGGCTTTTAGAAAAAGGTCCATGATTTCAATCAAGGCAGTTGCGGGAAACGTTGTCTCGTATATCCTGAAAATTTCCTATGTGCACTGATTGCCACACCTAGAAGGAGACCATTATCTGGCCATCTGATATTGTTATTTCTCTCAGTTTCTCTGGGAACTCTGTTTTTAATGGCCGTTTCACAATCCCCGCAAATGAATAAAGATGCCGGAATAGCCAATTACAACCTTTTTGATTCGGCGCACCAAATAATCATGCTATCAGTCGCAGGGGAACTTCACGTTTGTGAAAAAAGGGTGATCCGGAGATTTTGGTGACAGCTGTTTCGGGATTTTTGTAGGTGAGAATCGTTCTGCACCTAAAACGCGTTGGGGCACTTTGTCAATAGACGAAATCTGTTTCGTTTGGTAGTAGAGTCTGTGGAAGGAGGCTTTTAAACTGGTTTGTGATATCAACGCGTCTTGAATATGTAAGTTTGAGTGGAAGTAAGGAATTCATTCTCAGGCCTGCGCGAACGAGCATTTGGCTTAACTTAAGTGAATTGCTACTGTCGACACCTCACTTCAATTTTCTATAGGAATGCAGCTTTCAAACACTTAATCATATAGGTTGCAGTTGCCGTGAAATGAGCTCATGCGGTCTGATGTGTAAGTTCGAAAAGTTCTCACACTTCATCAGAAGCCAATTAATTTTCGCATAAATTTAAGCGTACAGTAAAGAGGAACGCCAGGGGATGCACGGGTTAGTCATTGCGAACTAGGTTCTTCTTAAAATTTTACACCTGGAGGAAGCGAAATATGCTGCAACTGTTAGAAAATAGTTCGATCTGAAGCTTCTTTCTACAGACTCTAACAAGAGAAAATACATTTCCTATTGGCAAAAGGTTGAAACGCCTTATAGGTGCCTGACAACTATCAGGTGACATAACAAAATGGCTGAAAAAACCTGAAGCAGCTATCACCAAAATCTATGGATGACTCAAGGTTCATAAACCTTTTTTACCACTTTTTCGGTCGCGAACCGTGTGTACGCACGGCCAGTGCTTTAATAGGCTTGCGGGTGCTCGCTAGTGCGCGTGGATGCACAAAACTTTGAAACACTTTAACACTGTTCTTGAGGCACTATCCTTCGAGTGAAGTGCACTGACTTCTTCTCGAACGAGACGGCTTACACACGCCACCAGAACTAAGCGCGTATATTTCACGCTACCCAAGAAATACGGCTGAGGGAGCTTGTTACACATTTTTCATCATCCATTTCAGGCACTCA